CACGAAAAAACGAATAAAGTTTTAAATCGTAGAAGAACAAATGCGCCATCACTTGAGATCAACGAATTTGTTCCATTTTTTAATATAGACCGAATGACTCTGGATAATGCAGCAAAAGTTATTGTTCAAATGTTTACTGAAAATTTCTCACAAATCAAATTCACCACACTTGAAATTGATGACAACAGATTGGATGAAAAGCAGCTCCTAGTCGAACATTTTCAAAAAGCTATTAATGAAATTCCCCAAATAATATCTAACATGACATTACTTACATCAAGAAATAATTTTCATTTAAAAGGAGTAAACATAAGCTCAGATGATTTGTCGTCATTTAGAGGCGTCGATCTATTGATCAAAAGCAAATTTATTGGTGATGAAAATGCTTTAGAAGAGATTAAGTTGATCATGAACAATAATGGATATATAATTTCAAGAGAAGATCAGGATTACTCTAATGTCGAAAATGAAGATTATAGAACCGTCGCTAAAATTTGCACAGCTTTTGATGAAATTCTTCACATAATCCAGTTCAAAAGTGATTCAAATAACAGTTACAATATTATTGAAATAACCTCAAATGTGAATGACTGGATTGAACCATTGAAAAAATCACTCAAAGAATCTCCAACAATATTGTTTGCTTACAATCAGGAGCCATCTGGAATTTTAGGCTTTACTAAATGTCTCAAACAGGAGTATCTTAATAAACTTAAATGTTTCTTCATTATGGATACTGAGAATGCTCCTTCAGTCTTTGATGTCAAGAATAACTTCTTTGGGGATCAGTTGAAATATAACCACTCAATGAATGTCTTCAAAGATGGAAAATGGGGAAGTTACAGACATTTAAACTTGTTGGCAATTACCAATTCATCTCCACAATCAGAGCACTGTTTTGCGAATTGTCAGGTCAAAGGTGATTTATCAACATTTGCATGGATTCAAGGATCACTTGATGTCAATGATACAAATCTAGATCTGATAAGAATTCAATACTCATCACTTAATTTTAAGGATGTTATGCTAGCTCTTGGTAGAATTACTGACAATCGAGCGAAGACTATTTTTGATCAGGAAGCATGTTTGGGATTTGAATTTTCTGGCACAAAACAAAATGGTGAAAGAGTCATGGGGATCGCATTCGGTGCTGGTGCATTAGCAACTCATTATGATGCCAACAATTCAATTTTATGGAAAGTTCCTGATTCTTGGACATTAGAAGAAGCAGCAACTGTGCCACTTGTATACTTTACAGTTTATTTTGCATTCTTCAACACAACAACAATTAGAGCTGGAAAGAAAATCTTAATTCATTCTGGAAGTGGTGGAGTTGGACAAGCAGCCATTGAAGTTGCATTTGCTTATGGACTAGAAGTCTACACAACTGTCAGCAATGAAGACAAGAAAAACTATTTACTTCAAAAATTTCCGAAACTGAAACCTGAAAATATTGGAAACTCTAGAAATACAACTTTTGAGAAAATGGTTCTCGAAAATACAGAAGGCAAAGGCGTTGATTATATCCTGAACTCTTTATCTGGTGACAAACTAAAAGCATCGATTCGTTGTGTAGGAGTTGATGGAGTATTTTTAGAAATCGGAAAATATGACATCCAAATGGGAACAAATCTTGACATTGGATATTTGAGCAAGCGAATCACTATTAAAGCAGTAATTTTTGACGATCTAGCTGTTGATTCTGAAGAATTACAGGTAAGAAACAAGAATTAATAATTAGTAATTGAAGCAATAACTTAAATGACAAAATTGCTTTCTGATTTTTTTTTGTAGTTTGTATATAATCTTGTTGACAATGATTTAAAAACTGGAATTATAAAACCATTAAATGCAACCGTCTTTGATGCAAATAAAATTGAAGATGCATTCCGATTCATGTCAGGTGGTCAACATATAGGAAAGGTTCTTATCAGAGTCAGAAAAGAAGAAAATGATGCATATTCACTACCATTTGCTGCTTTAAAACGAATTTATTATCATCCAAGTGAATGTATTGTGATCACTGGAGGTCTTGGAGGATTTGGAATGGAATTGGTAGAGTGGTTAATGTCAAGAGGATGTCAAAAGTTCGTATTGAGTTCAAGAAGAGGAATCACTAATCCAAATCAACATTTGAGAGTGGGGTAAGTAGTAATAATTGAATATAATGAAACAAGTTATTGATTAAAATGTTTCTAGACGATGGAAAAAACTAGGAGCTGATGTTAAAATAAGCTCATCAGATATCACAACACAGCAAGGATGTGAAGAATTAATCAACCAAGCTAAGAAGCTCGGACCAGTTTGTTCAATTTTCAATCTTGCTGGCGTTTTACGAGATGGAATCTTTGATAACTTAGATGAACAAATGTTTAACGAATCTATGGCACCAAAAGCTCTCAGTACAAAATATTTAGATAAAGTTTCAAGAACTTTATGTCCAAACTTGAAGCAGTTTGTTGTTTTCTCAAGTGTTGCATGTGGTCGTGGCAATGCTGGTCAAAGTAATTATGGAATGTCAAATTCAGTCATGGAAAGAATAATTGAAGACAGACATTGTGATGATCTGCCTGCAAAAGCTATTCAATGGGGTGCTGTAGGCGATGTAGGAATGCTTGCTGACTTCCAACTTATAAATATGAATAAAGATGTTGGTGGAACTCTACCTCAACCTATTTCTTCATGTCTGGAAGTACTTGACACTCTGCTTACATCAAAGAACCCAATAGTCTCGAGCATGATTATTGCTGATAAAAAAATAAGTGATTTTGGAAAAGGAAACATTATTGACATGATATTCAAGATAATGGGAATTCGTGACAAAAAGTCAATCTCAATGGATTCTACACTTACACAACTAGGCATAGACTCGTTAACAGGAGTTGAAATACAGCAGATTATTGAACATGAATTTGATATATCCTTAACTTCTCAAGAAATACGATCTCTTACTCTTAGTCAGCTTGAAAAACGTGTTTTGTCAAAGGATCTGGCAAATACAGCACCAAATTTAATAGAAAATGATATCTCTGCAGCTGAGAAGATTGAATGGATGCGAATTTTAATGGAAGGTGTTATTGATCCGATAACGAATGATGTTGTCTCATTAGAAAATGTCATTAAAGTAAACGATGCACAATGTTCAGACATTAAAGTTTTGATACTTCCTGGATTTTATGGATTGGCTTCAAAAGTTTACCGAAATATTGGAGAAGAGATGGAATTTCCAGCATATGTTTTACAATACATGAATACTAATGAGAGTAAGAATGTTGAAGAAATCATGAATGAAATAACTCCATCTGTTTTCGAATTATTTTCTGACGTCAACAAATTTATTCTTATTGGTCACTCGTTTGGGGCTAGTCTTGTTTTAAAATTAGCAAAAAATTTAGAAAATTTGGGAAAATCAGGCAAGATTATACAAATTGATGGCTCACCAATGTATTCAAATAAATTTGCACAACAAACATTAAATGAAGACAACATTGACAATAATGAAAATTATATATCTATGCTCCTCTTTAAGTTTTATCAGAATTATGTTGATTTGAATGTTTACAAAGCAGCATTTGAAAGCAGTTCAAATTGGACAGATCGATTCAAGGAAATGACTTTACGTGCTGGTGATTCAATTACATTATCACATGAATACATGATGATAAATGTTTCGTCCGCATATATAAATCGATTAAATATTGCGCTTCATCTCAAAGCAGAAGAATTTTCAGTACTGGACACAACAAGAATTTCTTTAATAAAAGCTGCCAAATCTTCAATTAAAGAACTTCCTAATGATTATGGATTATCAAAGTATTCAACTCAAGATGTGATTGTAAAGAGTGTGACCGGTGATCATGTTACAATGCTTCAAAATTCAGAACTTAGATTTGTTATTGAGAAATTATTATCAATTTAAAAAGAATTTGTATGAATATAAAGGTCAAAACATTTATTTAAGAAAATGGACAGAATAGATTAAGCCAAACCATAAGGATCATCAAATTAATATTTTCATATTTATAATATTTGATTTTGAAGATTTTTTTTTGAGCTCCAAAGACAAATTTTTTAAATCAATGAAATTCAGTGAATTTTAAAAAACTTTTTGAAAATATTCAGCAAAAAGTCATTAAAATCAACTGTTATGGAAAATTTTCCAGTCCAACTATCAATCAAACATGTAAAGAAAATAATTGTTTTTGCTTCATCAGAACAGAATTACTTGATCTTTTATGTAAAAAACAAAGATCAAGATGTTTAAACTTCATTTAACTGGAATTTTACTATAAAGTTTTTTTTATGTTTTAATATTTGATTTAAAAAAACATATTTCAGTGGTGAATAGAAACCACTTAATTGGTTTTAACTAAATACTCATATAATGATGTACCCGTAAAACAATAAAAATAAAAGAAATTATCTGTTGACATTTTATTCGTAGCTGAGTAAATATTTTTAAAATATTTTTGATGGCAATAATGTTTGAGGTAAGCTATGGATTAAAACAGTGTTTCTTAAATACTGTGACGCGAAATGCTGTTTGAATCAAAAAAGGTCATGATTAAAATAAAATAAAGATAAGGAAAGCCGAAGCTTAATTGATTATTCATTTTACTCTGAAGCCTTAGCAACAAAAAAAAAATTAATCTTTTTAATTTGATTTTTTTTCAACGTTGATAGTTGCTTGGAGCCTTTTACCTTTTTATTCAGTCCTGATCACGTTGAGACCACGTTTATTTTTCTTTTCCAACTCGTTCTACAAAACAAAGCAATAGTATTTTTAACACCAATATCAAGCCTCTAATGTCGCCAGCGACATTATTACCAGAGTAAATATTTGTTAAATTTAAATTGCAATTTATTATCATGATATGAGAAAAAAGTATAAAAGTCTCGTATTAATGTGTATTCTGGATCAGTTGCTGGTTTTATTTTGAAAAGTTTTGTGTAAAAAAACCAAATTTTGTGAGTTAAACTAAAATAAAGTTTATAAAGCAATGGAATTTCAAGATGATGATGTTGTAATTTCGGGAATATCTGGAAGATTCCCAAGCTCAAATAATCTAAAAGAGTTTGAATACAATCTGTACAATAAAGTGAATATGACTGACGACGATGAAAGTCGTTGGAAGCATTTTAGTGATGAAGTTCCTAAAAGATTTGGAAAAATTCGAAATTTAGAAAAGTTTGATGCTTCATTTTTTTCAACTTTGAATAAGCATGCTAATTGGACTGATCCACAAATGAGAATTCTACTGGAACATGCTTATGAGGTACACATTAATAAAATTTTACAGATGAATTAAGGCTATTAACTATCAAATAAAATTTAAAGTCTATATTGGATGCTGGTGTATCACCGCAAAGCTTGGTTGGAAGTAATACAGGAGTTTTTGTTGGATGTAGTATGTCAGATGCAAGAGATTCTTTCCTGCATCGGGTTCCACCAAAGGATGGATACGTTATTTCAGGGTATATACAAAATAAAAAATTTTTGTTCAAAATCTAGTTCTCATTGATTTTATTATTGTTTTCTTTTTTCAAAAGGAGTGGAGGTTTTTACTTGTCAAATCGAATATCATATGCTCTTGGGCTATGTGGACCTTCATTTACAGTTGATACTGCATGTTCAAGTTCATCTTATGCTCTTGATATCGCATTTCGATACATGGAAGCAGGTAAATACCAATTAATTGCAAAAAATGTAATCTTATAAAAAACTTCCATGAATGAATTCAAACAGGTATTTGTGATTCCGCACTTGTCGGAGGATCACAGTTAATTTTGAATTTTGCAACAACAGTCGAGTATTCCAGATTAGGAATTCTTTCAAAAGAAGGAATTTCCTGTCCATTTGATGAAGATGCAAGCGGCTTCACTCGTGCAGAATCAATCTCTGTAATATTCTTGCAAAAAAGGAAAGATTCAAAACGGATCTACGCAAATGTTGTGTATAGCAGTTCCAATAATGATGGATTCAAGAAAGAAGGAGCTTCATTTCCATCAAAAATCATGCAGCAGAAATTGATTGAAAGTTTTTATCAAACCATCAAATTTGATCCTGCAAATGTCAATTTTGTTGAAGCACACGCAACTGGCACTAAACTTGGAGATCCTGAAGAACTTGCTGCTATTGACGAGGTATTTGCAAAACGAACTGGAAGATCAAAAACATTGACAATTGGAAGTGTAAAATCCAATATGGGACATGCCGAAGCAGCTTCAGGAATGGCATCAATGGCAAAAATTATTCTTTCATTTGAAAATCAGAAGTTTCCACCAAACATAAACTTGAAATCACTTCGATCTGATGTTGCTGCATTTTCTGAAGGACGAATTAAAGTCGCAACAGAAGTTGAGGATCTTGATAGTGAATTTATTGCAATGAATTCGTTTGGTCTTGGAGGTGGAAATGCACATTCACTTTTCAGAGGAAATCCAAAAGTCAAAACAAATTTTGGTATTCCTGATGATGAGCTTGGTAGAATGGTGTTGTGGTCAGGCAGAACAGAAGCTGCAATAAATGCAATTTTTGATGATATCACACAACGTCCACTTGATGCTGAACATATTGCACTTCTCCAGAATTCTCAAACACAAACAACAAGTGCTAATACTTATCGTGGATATGGAATGTTCATTAATGACAAGAGTGATGGAAAAGCAGTTTGTGTGAAGCAAAACATTCAGTATTTTAATGGATCACGACGTCCAGTTGTATTTGTGTATAGTGGAATTGGAAGTCAATGGCTTGAAATGGGACGAGATTTGATGAAAATTCCTCTATTTGCTCAATCAATTGAGAAATGTCATGACATACTGATGAATAAAGGAATCAACTTAAAGAACATCTTAACATCAGCTGAAGAGGACACATTCAGTAATGTCTTGCATTCATATGTTGGAATTATTACAATTGAAATCGCACTTACTGACATTCTGAAGGAATTGAATATTGTTCCTGATTACATTATTGGACATTCAGTTGGTGAACTAGGTTGTGCTTATGCTGACAATTGTTTTACTGCTGAAGAGACACTTTTGGCAGCTTATGCTCGTGGTGTAGCCAGTAGAGAATCACAAACTATTCGTGGTGCAATGGCAGCTGTTGGAATGAATCATCTGAAGCTCAAGGAAATCGTTCCAAATGACATTGACATTGCATGTCATAATGGTGAAGACTCAAGCACAATCAGTGGACCCGTCGAAAGCATTCATGACTTTATTGACAAACTTAAGGAAGACAAAGTGTTTGTCAAAGAAGTTGCATGCTCTGGAGTTCCATTGCACAGCCGATACATCAAAGAAATGGGCCAAAATTTACACAACAAATTAAAGCAAATAATTAAGAAACCAAAAATGCGATCTGAAAAGTGGTTGAGTTCAACATATGCAGAAGAGATGTGGAAGGAAGATGAAGCAGCATTTTGCTCAGCTGAATATCAAACAAAGAATCTCTTGAATCCAGTTTTGTTTCAAGAAGTCACTGAAATGTTACCAAAAGATGCATTCCTGATTGAAGTAGCTCCGTCAGGTTTATTAAGAGCAATTTTAACTAGGAACGTAAAGAATGGCGCTTATATAAACTTAACTGAAAGAAACTCAAAAGATGGATTTAATCATTTCATGGAAGGTCTTGGAAGGTGAGCTAGTTTGATCAAATTGGATACATGTTCTAAAATTTATTTCTAATTTAAACAAATAGAATCTTTGAATATGGAGTTGACATGGACATATTGAAATTATATCCATCAATAAGTTTTCCCGTTTCTCGAGGAACTCCAATGATTGCGCCTGTTATTAAGTGGAATCACGAAGATGATCATTTTGTGCCTTATTTTGACTCATACAACATCTTTGAGAGACAAAACATTGTCATTAATATAAGCGATAAAAAATATGAGTTCCTTCAAGGGCATATTGTGGATAGTCGAATTATATTTCCTGCCACTGGCTGGATATTTCTTGTGTGGGAAACATTTTCAAGTATGATCGGAAAGCACTACGAAAAAACTAAAGTAATTATTGAAGACATTAATTTCTTAAGAGCCACTCCTTTATTTAAAAATCAGGATTTGTTAGTAACAATTTCAATTCATCGTGGATCTGGAAGATTTGAAATAATTGAAGGAAATTCTCCGATTGTTCAAGGTTTTATCAAAAATGGTGATGATATAGAAATGTCAGAAATTACTCCTCATTATGACAACAACATTTTTAATGGAGATGGATTTTATAAGGAAATGCGATTATGCGGCTTCATTCATTTAGGGCCGTTCAAAGGAGTAACCGAAATTCAGTTTAACGGCTTGAAAGGAAAAATGAAATGGATGGGAAATTGGATAACTTTTTTGGACATACTCACACACTTTAATAATAGAAGAACTCTTTTATCTCGAGATATGGGAGTTCCAGTGAGGATTAGAAAATTTATTATTGATCCAATTTTGCATTACAAAATGTTGGAAGAAAAAATGAATAAATCCGGAAATAACGAAGATTCAGATGTTGTTTTTGATGTAGTTGTTTGTCCATACCGACAAATTATCAATGCAGGATCAATAGAGATTCACGAAAAAACGAATAAAGTTTTAAATCGTAGAAGAACAAATGCGCCATCACTTGAGATCAACGAATTTGTTCCATTTTTTAATATAGACCGAATGACTCTGGATAATGCAGCAAAAGTTATTGTTCAAATGTTTACTGAAAATTTCTCACAAATCAAATTCACCACACTTGAAATTGATGACAACAGATTGGATGAAAAGCAGCTCCTAGTCGAACATTTTCAAAAAGCTATTAATGAAATTCCCCAAATAATATCTAACATGACATTACTTACATCAAGAAATAATTTTCATTTAAAAGGAGTAAACATAAGCTCAGATGATTTGTCGTCATTTAGAGGCGTCGATCTATTGATCAAAAGCAAATTTATTGGTGATGAAAATGCTTTAGAAGAGATTAAGTTGATCATGAACAATAATGGATATATAATTTCAAGAGAAGATCAGGATTACTCTAATGTCGAAAATGAAGATTATAGAACCGTCGCTAAAATTTGCACAGCTTTTGATGAAATTCTTCACATAATCCAGTTCAAAAGTGATTCAAATAACAGTTACAATATTATTGAAATAACCTCAAATGTGAATGACTGGATTGAACCATTGAAAAAATCACTCAAAGAATCTCCAACAATATTGTTTGCTTACAATCAGGAGCCATCTGGAATTTTAGGCTTTACTAAATGTCTCAAACAGGAGTATCTTAATAAACTTAAATGTTTCTTCATTATGGATACTGAGAATGCTCCTTCAGTCTTTGATGTCAAGAATAACTTCTTTGGGGATCAGTTGAAATATAACCACTCAATGAATGTCTTCAAAGATGGAAAATGGGGAAGTTACAGACATTTAAACTTGTTGGCAATTACCAATTCATCTCCACAATCAGAGCACTGTTTTGCGAATTGTCAGGTCAAAGGTGATTTATCAACATTTGCATGGATTCAAGGATCACTTGATGTCAATGATACAAATCTAGATCTGATAAGAATTCAATACTCATCACTTAATTTTAAGGATGTTATGCTAGCTCTTGGTAGAATTACTGACAATCGAGCGAAGACTATTTTTGATCAGGAAGCATGTTTGGGATTTGAATTTTCTGGCACAAAACAAAATGGTGAAAGAGTCATGGGGATCGCATTCGGTGCTGGTGCATTAGCAACTCATTATGATGCCAACAATTCAATTTTATGGAAAGTTCCTGATTCTTGGACATTAGAAGAAGCAGCAACTGTGCCACTTGTATACTTTACAGTTTATTTTGCATTCTTCAACACAACAACAATTAGAGCTGGAAAGAAAATCTTAATTCATTCTGGAAGTGGTGGAGTTGGACAAGCAGCCATTGAAGTTGCATTTGCTTATGGACTAGAAGTCTACACAACTGTCGGCACTGAAGATAAGAAGAACTTTTTGATAAAAAGATTTCCAAAATTAAAACCTGAAAACATTGGAAACTCTAGAAATACAACTTTTGAGAAAATGGTTCTCGAAAATACAGAAGGCAAAGGCGTTGATTATGTCCTGAACTCTTTATCTGGTGACAAATTAAAAGCATCGATTCGTTGTCTTGGAGTTGATGGAGTATTTTTAGAAATCGGAAAATATGACATCCAAATGAGAATAAATCTTGATATTGGATATTTGAGCAAGCGAATCACTATAAAGGCAGTAATTTTTGATGATCTAGCTGTTGATTCTGAAGAATTACAGGTAAGAAACAAGAATTAATAATTAGTAAGCAATAACTTAAATGACAAAATTGCTTTCTGATTTTTTTTTGTAGTTTGTATATAATCTTGTTGACAATGATTTAAAAACTGGAATTATAAAACCATTAAATGCAACCGTCTTTGATGCAAATAAAATTGAAGATGCATTCCGATACATGTCAGGTGGTCAACATATAGGAAAGGTTCTTATCAGAGTCAGAAAAGAAGAAAATGATGCATATTCACTACCATTTGCTGCTTTAAAACGAATTTATTATCATCCAAGTGAATCAATTGTGATCACTGGAGGTCTTGGAGGATTTGGAATGGAATTGGTAGAGTGGTTAATGTCAAGAGGATGTCAAAAGTTCGTATTGAGTTCAAGAAGAGGAATCACTAATCCAAATCAACATTTGAGAGTGGGGTAAGTAGTAATAAATTGAATATAATATTTTGAAATGATTTTTTAAAATTTGAAAAAGGCTATGGAAAAAGTTAGGACCTAAAGTGGAAATTTGCACATCAGATATCACAACACAGCAAGGATGTGAAGATTTGATTAAAAAGGCTATTGAGCTTGGGCCTGTTGGTGCAATTTTCAACTTAGCTGCAGTTCTCCGAGATGGACTTTTTGAAGATTTAAATGAACAAATGTTTAAAGAATCCTTAGCACCAAAAGCTCTCAGCACAACATTTTTGGATAAAGTTTCAAGAATTTTGTGTCCAAATCTCAAGCAATTTGTCGTCTTCTCGAGTGTCTCTTGTGGACGTGGAAATGCTGGCCAAACAAATTACGGAATGGCAAATTCAGTCATGGAAAGAATAATTGAAGACAGACATTGTGATGATCTGCCTGCGAAAGCTATTCAGTGGGGTGCAATTGGTGATGTAGGCATGCTTGCCGACTTTCACCTTTTGAATATTGAAAAAGATGTTGGTGGGACCCTTCCTCAACCGATTTTATTATGTCTTGAAGTTCTTGATGTTCTTCTTACGTCAAACGATCCAATAGTTTCGAGCATGATTATTGCTGATAAAAAAATAAGTGATTTTGGTAAAAGAAACATTATTGATATGATATTTAAAGTTATAGGAATTAGAGACCAGAAGTCAATCTCAATGGATTCTACACTTACACAACTAGGCATAGATTCATTAACAGGAGTGGAAATACAACAAAAAATTGAACATGAATTTGATTTATCTTTGACATCACAGGAATTACGTTCTCTTACTCTTAGTCAGCTTGAAAAACGAGTTTTATCAAAGGATTCAAAAAATGCAGCACTAAGTCAAACCGAAAGTGACATCTCTGCAGCTGAGAAAATTGAATGGATGCGATTTTTAATGGAAGGTGTTATTGATCCAAATACAAATGATGTTGTTTCATTTGAAAATGTCATTAAAGTAAACGATGCACAATGTTCAGACACTAAAATTTTAATACTTCCTGGATTTTATGGATGGGCTTCAAAAGTTTACCGAAATATTGGAGAAGAGATGGAATTTCCAGCATATGTTTTACAATACATGAATACTAATGAGAGTAAGAATGTTGAAGAAATTATGAATGAAATAACTCCATCTGTTTCCGAATTATTTTCTGATGTCGACAAATTTATTCTTATTGGTCACTCGTTTGGTGCTAGTCTTGCATTAAAATTAGCAAAAAATTTAGAAAATTTGGGAAAATCAGGCAAGATTATACAAGTTGATGGCTCACCAATGTATTCAAATAAATTTGCACAACAAACATTAAATGAAGACAACATTGACAATAATGAAAATTATATATCTATGCTCCTCTTTAAGTTTTATCAGAATTATGTTGATTTGAATGTTTACAAAGCAGCATTTGAAAAAAGTTCAAATTGGACAGATCGATTCAAGGAAATGACTTTACGTGCTGGTGATTCAATTACATTATCACATGAATACATGATGACAAATGTTTCGTCCGCATATATAAATCGATTAAATATTGCGCTTCATCTCAAAGCAGAAGAATTTTCAGTACTGGACACAACAAGAATTTCTTTAATAAAAGCTGCCAAATCTTCAATTAAAGAACTTCCTAATGATTATGGATTATCAAAGTATTCAACTCAAGATGTGATTGTAAAGAGTGTGACCGGTGATCATGTTACAATGCTTCAAAATTCAGAACTACTGCTCGTCATTAAGGAAATAATATCGGATTGAATACATTCAAGGTTTATTGCATATTGAATGATTTTTGGCTAATTAAGTAGAATATTCTTATTAAAATCATTATTTTTATATGAAAATGAATTGATTCAATTTCGTCTATACTTCAAGGCCAATTTATTAACATTTTGTTGGACTTTTGTGCTGGTTAAAAGTAGTTTTGATGCAATAGTTAAATGTAACTGTGTAATTTAATTATATGAATCATGAATAATGTTTGTTTTTGGGGCTCAAATAATACAACACTAAACATGTAGTAACAAAAAAAAAATTTGACCCCCACTAAAAAAAATTCTGGTTAAGCCCCTGTTTGTTTACATTAATTTCAAGATTAACAAATTAAAGAAAAAAACGAATGTACAGTTAAATTTAATTAAGACTGACTTTTTGTTCAGTCTTGTTAAGAATGTGCTTAATAACCACAATGCAAAAAAAATAAGACACACTTAATCTGTTTATTGTTTTTGTTTGCCCCACCTAGAGCATCTAAAGAGACAATAATAAAATAACCATTCTGCATCTTTGTTACGCGCACTTTACGATGTTCAAGCAAGGCAATAACATCATTTAATTTATTTTAAAAATTTGGAAAAGAAGTGATTTTAATAAAAATAAACATTTAAAGGAAAAAAATATTTTTTAAACAGTAAAAATTAAATTCTGAATTTCAAAAATTTTCTTGTGACTGATTTTTTAATATTAAGAAATAACAATAAGGATGCTCATCCCAAGGGTTAAATTAAATTTTAAAAATTAATTTAATTGTTTACTGAACAACAAATTTAACATTAGGATTAGGAATTTCCAATTATATAAAGAAACTTGTATTTTCGGTAGGGTATAAAAGGCAATTACAAGTTTTGCACTGGCTCATTGAAAGAATATCTAGTGAGTCAAATAAGTAAATTGAAATAGTTGTGCATTTAAGTGAAACTAATAAACAACAATAAAAGTTGTTAACTTAAATAAAATAAGATTATAAAAATATCGTGCAAAATTTAAGTGAAATAAAAAATTATTTTAAAATGGAAATTCAAGAAAATGACATTGTGATATCGGGTATATCAGGAAGATTCCCGAGCTCAAATAATCTAAAAGAGTTCGAATACAATCTATACAATAAAATTGATATGGTTGATGACGATGAAAGTCGTTGGAAGCATTTTAGTGATGAAGTTCCACGCAGATTCGGAAAAATTCGTAACCTAGAAAAGTTTGATGCTTCATTTTTTTCAACTTTACATAAGCATGCTAATTGGACTGATCCACAAATGAGAATTCTTCTTGAACATGCTTATGAGTCTATTTTGGATGCTGGTGTCTCACCTCAATCATTAGTTGGAAGTAAAACAGGAGTTTTTATTGGCTGCAGTATTTCGGATGCTAGAGATGCGTTTATACATCGAGTTCCACCAAAGGATGGATATGTTGTTTTAGGGTAAGCAAATCATAACGGGAAATCGACAGATTAAGGAATTTCGTTATTTATTTCTAACAGAAGTGGAGGATTTTACTTTTCAAACCGAATATCTTATGCCCTTGGTCTTTGTGGACCCTCAATGACAGTTGATACAGCTTGTTCAAGTTCTGCCTATGCTCTTGATACAGCATTCCGTTATATGGAAACAGGTATGAACTGATTTATTGAAAAAAATATTCTAATGATAAAATCTCATGAATAAATGTAAACAGGTATTTGTGATGCAGCACTTGTTGGCGGTTCACAAGTAATTTTGGACTGTGGCTTAAACAGCGAGTATATGAAATTAAAAATATTAGCAAATGATGGAATTTCAAGGCCATTTGATGAAGATGCAAGCGGCTTCACTCGAGCAGAATCAATATCTGTAATATTCTTGCAAAAAAGGAAAGATTCAAAACGGATCTACGCAAATGTTGTGTATAGCAGTTCCAACAATGATGGTTTCAAGAAAGAAGGAGCTTCATTTCCCTCCAAAATCATGCAACAGAAATTGATTGAAAGTTTTTATCAAACCATCAAATTTGATCCTGCAAATGTCAATTTTGTTGAAGCACACGCAACTGGCACTAAACTTGGAGATCCTGAAGAACTTGCTGCTATTGACGAAGTATTTGCAAAACAAACTGGAAGATCAAAAACATTGACAATTGGAAGTGTAAAATCCAATATGGGACATGCCGAAGCAGCTTCAGGAATGGCATCAATGGCCAAGATAATTCTTTCATTTGAAAGTCAGAAGTTTCCCCCAAACATAAACTTGAAATCACCTCGATCTGATGTTGCTGGATTTTCTGAAGGACGAATTAAAGTCGCGACAGAAGTTGAGGATCTTGATAGTGAATTTATTGCAATGAATTCGTTTGGTCTTGGAGGTGGAAATGCACATTCACTTTTCAGAGGAAATCCAAAAGTCAAATCAAAATTTGGTATTCCTGATGATGAACTTGGTAGAATGGTGTTATGGTCAGGCAGAACAGAAGCTGCAATAAATGCAATTTTCGATGATATCACACAACGTCCACTTGATGCTGAACATATTGCACTTCTCCAGAATTCTCAAACACAAACAACAAATGCCAACACTTATCGTGGATATGGAATGTTCATTAATGACAAAAGTGAAGGAAAAGCAGTTTGTGTGAAGCAAAACATTCAGTATTTCAATGGATCACGACGTCCAGTTGTATTTGTGTATAGTGGAATCGGAAGTCAATGGCTTGGAATGGGACGAGATTTGATGAAAATTCCTCTATTTGCTCAATCAATTGAGAAATGCCATGGCATACTGATGAATAAAGGAATCGACTTAGAGAACATCTTAACATCAACTGACGAGCACACATTCAGTAATGTCTTGCATTCATATGTTGGAATTATTGCAATTGAAATCGCACTTACTGACATTCTGAAGGAATTGAATATTGTTCCTGATTACATCATTGGACATTCAGTTGGTGAATTAGGTTGTGCTTATGCTGACAATTGTTTGACTGTTGAAGAAACACTATTAGCAGCTTATGCTCGAGGTGAAGCCAGTAGAGAATCTCAAACTATTCGTGGTGCAATGGCAGCTGTTGGAATGAATCATCTGAAGCTTAAGGAAATCGTTCCTGATGACATTGACATTGCATGTCATAATGGTGAAGACTCAAGCACAATCAGTGGGCCTGTCAAAAGTGTTTATGCATTTATTGAAAAGCTTAAGGAAGATAAAATATTTGTAAAAGAAGTTGCATGCTCAGATGTTCCATTGCATAGTCGATACATCAAAGAAATGGGTCAAAATTTACAAAACAAATTAAAGGAAATAATCAGGGAACCAAAAATGCGATCTGAAAAGTGGTTGAGCTCAACATATGCTGAAGATTTGTGGAAGGTAGATGAAGCAGCATTTTGCTCAGCTGAATATCAAACAACAAATCTCTTGAATCCAGTTCTGTTTCAAGAAGTCACTCAAAAGTTACCGAAAGATGCATTGCTGATGGAAGTGGCTCCTTCTGGATTGTTGAGGGCTATTTTGAAAAGAAGTTTTACAGATGGAGTGTATGCGAATTTAACTGAGAAGAATTCAAATGATGGTTATTCTCTTTTTATGGAATGTCTTGGACGGTAAGATAATCTGTACAAATTAGTTGCATGTTTCAAAATTTATTTCTTATTTTAAACAAATAGAATCTTCGAATATGGAGTTGATATGGACATATTGAAATTATATCCATCAATAAGTTTTCCTGTCTCTCGAGGAACGCCAATGATTGCACCTATTATTAAGTGGAATCACGAAGATAATCATTTTGTGCCTTATTTTGATTCATATAATGCTTACGAAAGACGGAACATTGTAATCAATATAAGTGATAAGCATTTTGAATTGATTCAAGGACATATTGTCGATGGTCGTGTGATTTTTCCAGCGACTGGCTGGATACATATTGTATGGGAAACCTATGCTCGCATGATTGGAGTTTACTTTGAGAAAATGAAAGTGGTTCTAGAAGATATACATTTTTTAAGAGCTACTCCTTTGGTTAAAAATCAGGATTTATTGATAACAATTTCAATTCATCGTGGATCTGGAAGATTTGAAATTATTGAAGGAAATTCTACAGTTGTTTACGGTTGCATTAAGCAGATGGAAAACATAGAAATGTCTGATGTCACACCAATTAATGACGACGTTTACATTTTCTCAGGAGAAGGATTCTACAAAGAAATGCGTATTTGTGGATTTACACATTTGGGATTATTCAAAGGTGTTACAGAAATGCAGCTTAATGGATTAAAAGGAAAGATCAAATGGATGAAAAACTGGACAACATTTTTGGATACAATTACACATTTCAATTATGAAAGAATTCTTCATTCTAGAGGACTGAGAGTACCGATAAGAATTAAAAAATTTGTCATCAATCCAATTTTGCATTATGAGATGGTTGAGGAAAAAATTAAGCAGCAGTCTTGTAATAAAAATACAAAAATCGATGCGAAAGACAAAAGTCCTGATATCATATTCGATGTAGTTGTTTGTCCATATCGAAACATTATTAGTGCTGGTGGCATTGAAATTCATGGAAAAACTAATCAGCTTATGTCTCGTAGACGTTTGAACAAACCATCACTTGAGATTTACAAATTCGTTCCATTTTTTTCAAGCGAACCTATGTCTTTGGATAATGCTGCAAAAACAATTGCTCAAATGATTATTGAAGATTTAAGTCAAATTAAGTTTTCAATATTAGAGATTGATGATAACAAAATTGATGAACAACAACTTTTAAGTGATCATTTGCAAAAAGCTATTAGCGAAATACCTCAAATAACATCTGACATTACTTTAATTACATCCAGGAATAACTTTGGTTTGAAAGGAGTTAATATAAGTTCAGAAGATTTATCTTCGTTTAATGGAGTTGATCTGCTTATTAAAAGCAATATTTTAAGTGATGATAATGCTTTAGAAGAGATCAAGTTGATCATGAACAATAATGGATATATAATTTCAAGAGAAGATCAGGATTACTCTAATGTCGAAAATGAAGATTATAGAACCGTCGCTAAAATTTGCACAGCTTTTGATGAAATTCTTTACATAATCCAGTTCAAAAATGTTTCAAATAACAGTTACAATATTATCGAAATAACTTCAAACGTGAATGACTGGATTGAACCACTGAAAAAATCACTCAAAGAATCTCCAACAATATTGTTTGCTTACAATCAGGAGCCATCAGGAATTTTAGGCTTTACTAAATGTCTCAAACAGGAGTATCTTAATAAACTTAAATGTTTCTTCATCATGGATACTGAGAATGCTCCTTCAGCTTTTGATATTCATCACAAATTTTTCAAAGATCAAAATCATGCATTAAATGTGTTTAAAGACTGTAAATGGGGAGGATATAGACATTTGAGCTTGTCAGCAGCTAACAATTCATCTTCACAATCCTCACACTTTTATGCAAATTGTCAGGTTAAAGGTGATTTATCAACATTTGCTTGGTTCCAAGGATCATTTGATATCAATGATGTAAGTTTAGATCTTATAAAAATTCAATACTCATTGCTCAATTTTAAGGATGTTATGCTGGCTCTTGGAAAAATTTCTGATGTTCGAGATAGGAAAATTTATAAGCAAGAAGCATATTTGGGTTTTGAATTTTCTGGGTTAAAACAAAATGGTGAAAGAGTGATGGGAATCGCAGTCGGTGCTGGTGCTTTAGCAACTTATTATGATGCCAGCAATGCAATATTATGGAATGTTCCTGATTCATGGACAATGGAAGAAGCAGCAACTGTGCCACTTGTATACTTTACAGTTTATTTTGCATTCTTCAACACAACAACAATTAAAGCTGGAAAGAAAATCTTAATTCATTCTGGAAGTGGTGGAGTTGGACAAGCAGCAATTGAAGTTGCATTTGCTTATGGACTAGAAGTCTACACAACTGTCAGCAATGAAGATAAGAAGAACTTTTTGATAAAAAGATTTCCAAAATTGAAACCTGAAAACATTGGAAATTCTCGAAATACAACTTTTGAGAAAATGGTTCTTGAAAATACAGAAGGCAAAGGCGTTGATTATGTCTTGAACTCATTATCTGGTGACAAACTTAAAGCATCAATCAGCTGTTTAGGAATAAATGGTGTATTCTTAGAAATTGGAAAATATGACATTCAAAATGCAACAAATCTTGACATGGGATTTTTGAGTAAACGTATAAAACTCAGTGCAGTTATTTTTGATGAGCAGTTAGCTGAACCTGATGAGATTAAGGTAATGTACTTTAAATTATTGTTGATTTGTCATCTTCATTTCATTACTTGCAGTTCATTCATGATCTTGTCGATAAAGACATCAAATCAGGCATCATAAAACCCTTGAATACAACAGTCTTTGATGCAGATAAGATTGAAGATGCTTTTAGATATTTAGGAAGTGGTCAACACATAGGAAAAGTTCTTCTTAAAATTAGAGAAAATGCTAATGATGTGATGTCATTACCCATTCCTACTTTCAAACGAGTCTATTGTTGCTCCAATAAGTCTATTATAATTACTGGTGGTCTTGGTGGCTTTGGATTTGAGTTAACTGAATGGCTCATATCAAGAGGATGCACGAAATTTATATTGAGTTCAAGGAGAGGAATCCATAATAATGATCAGGCATTGAAAATACGGTAAATTGATTTTACAAAAATATGATTTATTTTAAAAAATTTTTTTTACATTATATTAAAGATATTGGAATTCTTGTGGATTGTCAGTGGTTGTAAGTACATCGAATATTACAACAGAACAAGGATGTGAAGAAGTGATCAGACAAGCTATGAAGCTTGGGCCAGTTGATGCTATTTTTCATCTTGCTGCTGTTCTTAGAGACGGAATCTTTGAAAATTTAGATGAACAAATGTTTAACGAATCTTTGGCACCAAAATCACTTGGAACCAAATATCTAGATAAATTATCAAGAGTTCTATGTCCAGATCTAAAACATTTTGTTGTATTCTCAAGTGTCTCTTGTGGACGAGGTAATGCTGGTCAAAGTAATTATGGAATGGCAAATTCAGTCATGGAAAGAATAATAGAGAACAGACATCGAGATGGACTGCCTGGTAAAGCTGTACAATGGGGTGCAATTGGTGATGTAGGAATGCTTGCAGATTATCAATTGATGAATGTAGATAAAGACTTTGGTGGAACTTTACCACAGCCAATTTATTCATGTTTTGAAGTTCTTGACACTCTTTTGACGTCAGAAGACCCAATAGTATCAAGCATGATTGTTGCGGACAAAAGGTTAGGAGATTTAAACAAAGGCAACATAATTGATATGATATTCAAGGTTATGGGAATTCGAGATAGAAAATCAGTATCGATGGATTCAACGCTGACTCAGCTAGGTATAGATTCATTAACTGGAGTTGAAATTCAATACATAATTGAGCATGAATTTGACATAACATTAACATCTCAAGAGATTAGATCTTTAACTTTAAGTCAGCTTGAAAAACGAGTTACGTCCAAAGATTCGAAAGATTCAAAACAAAAAAGTGTTGATGTTGAAACCAGCATGGCTGAAAAAGTTGAATGGATGAGACTCTTAATGGAAGGTGTTGTCGATCCTAAAACACTTGAACTTGTTACTGCAGATACAATTGTGCATGCAAATATTATTTTACACTCAAATACTAAAATTGTAATAGTTCCTGGATTTTTTGGATTTGCATCAACTGTTTTTAAAAATATTGGCAAGGAAATGGACTTTCCTGCATATGTTTTGCAATATGTTAATTTCCGTGAATGCACAAATCTTGAGGAAATAATGAAAAAAATAGCTCCAATTCTTTTGGATTTATTTTCTGATGTTGATAATTTTATATTGATTGGACACTCGTATGGCTGTCTTTTAACCATGAAAATGGCAGAAGTATTGGAAGAAAATGGAAAATCAGGACAGATCATTCAAATTGATGGCTCACCTATTCTTAGCAACATTCTTGCACTACAAGCTAAGAATACTGATTATTATGCTGATGTAAACAACTACATATCAATGATGCTGTTTAGATTTTATCAGCAACATGTTGATCTAAGTATTTCTAAGGCTGCATTTGAAAGTCATTCAATTTGGACAGAAAGATTCAAAGAAATGATTGCACGTTCTAAAGACTTAATTCCTTTATCACATGACTACATGATTGAAAAAGTTGCATCTGCGTACATGTCCCGATTAGATATTGCAGCCAATTTTGAAATGGAAGACTTTTCGATCTTAAAAACAACAAAAATCGCTTTGATTAAAGCAACAAAATCAATAGACAAAGAAATTTCAAATGATTATGGACTATCTAAGTTTTGTAGTAATGAAGTAGTTATAAAAATTGTATCTGGTGATCATGTGACAATACTCTTGAATCCAGAAATTTCACAGGTTATTAAAGGGGTAATATCGGTTTAGGTATATTTGGATCTGTAGTTTTATAGTATAATTTATTGAATAAATTAGAAGGAAGAGAAAAATAAAAATAAATTTTTAACAGCTTTTTTTATTTTAAAACTGGAACAGAATGAATTTAAGTTACACAAAATAAAAATAAACAATTGATCAGTTATTTCTATTATATTTGTTAAATTATATAGCTTACGATGCTATTTAACAAACGTATTTTCAATAAAACTTTAATAATTTTAAGAGACTACATCTTTTTAACATTCAAAATATTATAAATTCAAGCAAAATTTGATTTCTTTTTCATAACATTCTAGTAAGACAACTGATTTGCGAAAATTCATAACAAATTAAAATCTGCTTTTGTTTTTATATAATAAATTATATTTTGCGTGAGTATTCAATGTTTAACACTTTCAGCCTCTTAACCAAATTATTTACTGAGAAAATATTTTCGAACTCTCAGCAAATGCTTTTTATTTGTGTTGGAAATTGGATTGTCACTTTTTATCACATTTCGGAATCGTATATAAAGGCACCAAAAAGTCTTTTAAGGCTTATTTTAATAGTTCTGTTCTATCAGTGAAGTGAACTAAAAGAAATATTGAAAATAAGTTGTGAAAAATTAAAAAAAAATTGGAAAAGTTGACAAATTTTGAATTGGATATAAACTTGATCTGGAGATTTAAAAAATAATAATTGAATTATATAAAAAAACCTGTGGAAAAAATAAAACAATTGGTTTACTGCAATGGAAGTTAATGAAAGTGACATTGTTATATCCGGAATATCTGGACGATTTCCGAGCTCAAACAACTTAAGAGAGTTCGAGTACAATCTGTACAATAAAGTTGATATGGTTGATGACGATGAAAGTCGTTGGAAGCATTTTAGTGATGAAGTTCCACGCAGATTCGGAAAAATTCGTAACCTAGAAAAGTTTGATGCTTCATTTTTTTCGACCTTGAATAAACATGCTAATTGGACTGATCCCCAAATGAGAATTCTTCTTGAACACGCTTATGAGGTAAAAATAAAAATTAAAAGTGAAGAAAAGATGATAATTGAAAATAATTTTCAGTCAATTTTGGATGCTGGGATTTCCCCACAAAGCTTAGTAGGAAGTAAAACAGGAGTATTTATTGGTTGGAGTATGTCAGATGCTAGAGATGCATTCATTCATCGAGTTCCACCAAAGGATGGATATGTTGTTTTAGGGTAAGCAAATCTTAAAGAGATATTGACAGTTTAGGGAACTTTCTTGTCTTTTCACAACAGGAGTGGAGGTTTCTACTTCTCAAACCGAATATCGTATGCTCTTGGCTTATGTGGACCCTCAATTACAGTTGATACTGCGTGCTCAAGTTCATCTTATGCACTCGACACCGCATTTCGTTATATGGAAGCAGGTGAGTACACTATTAATTTGAGGTTAATAGAACTACAGTCCCAATTTAATCCTTTTGATTAGGTTTGTGCGACTCAGCACTTGTTGGAGGTTCTCAAATTCTGTTAAATATTGGATCTACAGCAGAGTATATGAGATTAGGAATATTAGCAAAAGATGGTATTTGTCGTCCATTTGATGAAGATGCAAGCGGCTTCACTCGAGCAGAATCAATTTCTGTATTATTCTTGCAAAAAAGGAAAGATTCAAAACGCATCTACGCAAATGTTGTGTATAGCAGTTCCAACAATGATGGTTTCAAGAAAGAAGGAGCTTCATTTCCTTCCAAAATTATGCAACAGAATTTGATTGAAAGTTTTTATAAAACCATCAAATTTGATCCTGCAAATATCAATTTTGTTGAAGCACACGCAACTGGTACTAAACTTGGAGATCCTGAAGAACTTGCTGCTATTGATGAAGTATTTGCAAAACGAACTGGAAGATCAAAAACATTGACAATTGGAAGTGTAAAATCCAATATGGGACATGCCGAAGCAGCTTCAGGAATGGCATCAATGGCAAAAATTATTCTTACATTTGAAAATCAGAAGTTTCCACCAAACATAAACTTGAAATCACCTCGATCTGATGTTGCTGCATTTGCTGAAGGACGAATTAAAGTCGCAACAGAAGTTGAGGATCTTGATAGTGAATTTATTGCAATGAATTCGTTTGGTCTTGGAGGTGGAAATGCACATTCACTTTTCAGAGGAAATCCAAAAGTCAAATCAAATTTTGGTATTCCTGATGACGAACTTGGTAGAATGGTGTTGTGGTCAGGCAGAACAGAAGCTGCAATAAATGCAATTTTTGATGATATCACACAACGTCCACTTGATGCTGAACATATTGCACTTCTTCAGAATTCTCAAACACAAACAACAAATGCCAACACTTATCGTGGATATGGAATGTTCATTAATGACAAAAGTGAAGGAAAAGCAGTTTGTGTGAAGCAAAACATTCAGTATTTTAATGGATCACGACGTTCCGTTGTATTTGTGTATAGTGGAATCGGAAGTCAATGGCTTGAAATGGGACGAGACTTGATGAAAATTCCTCTATTTGCCCAATCGATAGAGAAATGCCATGGCATACTGATGAATAAAGGAATCGCCTTGAAGAACATCTTAACATCAACTGACGATGACACATTCAGTAATGTCTTGCATTCATATGTTGGAATTATTGCAATTGAAATCGCACTTACTGACATTCTGAAGGAATTGAATATTGTTCCTGATTACATTATTGGACATTCAGTTGGTGAACTAGGATGTGCTTATGCTGACAATTGTTTAACTGTTGAAGAAACACTATTGGCTGCTTATGCTCGTGGTGAAGCCAGTAGAGAATCTCAAACTATTCAAGGTGCAATGGCAGCTGTTGGAATGAATCATCTGAAGCTTAAGGAAATCGTTCCAAATGACATTGACATTGCATGTCACAATGGTGAAGACTCAAGCACAATCAGTGGGCCTGCCGACAGTATAAATGACTTTATTCAAAAACTAAAAGAAGACAAAGTGTTTGCTAAAGAAGTTGCATGCTCTGGAGTTCCATTGCACAGCCGATACATAAAAGAAATGGGCCAAAATTTACAAAACAAATTAAAGGAAATAATCAGTGAACCAAAAATGCGATCTGAAAAGTGGTTGAGTTCAACATATGCAGAGGAGATGTGGAAAGAAGATGAAGCAGCATATTGCTCAGTAGAATATCAAACAACAAATCTCTTGAATCCAGTTCTATTTAAAGAAGTCACTGAAATGTTACCAAAAGATGCATTGCTGATAGAAGTGGCTCCATCAGGATTGTTAAGAGCTATTTTGAAAAGGAGTTTACCAGAAGGAGCTTATGTGAACTTAACTGAAAGGAACTCGAAGGATGGATATAATCATTTTGTTGACGGTCTTGGAAAGTAAGATATTTTATGGCAAATTTTATTAATATTTTAAAATTTCTTAATCTATTTATTTTTAATTTTTACATTAAGAATCTTTGAATATGGCATCGACATGGATGTTTCAAAGTTATATCCACCAATAAGTTTTCCTGTCTCTCGGGGAACTCCAATGATAGCACCTGCCATTAAGTGGAATCACGAAGATGATCATTTTGTGCCATATTTTGATTCGTATAATACATTTGAGAGGCGGAACATTGTCATCAACATAAGCGATAAGCTATTTGAGTTTGTTCAAGGACATATTGTCGATGGTAGAGTATTGTTTCCAGCAACTGGTTGGATTTATCTTGTATGGGAAACATTTGCTGGTATGATAAGTGCTAGATTTGAGGAAATTAAAGTTGTATTTGAAGACATAAGTTTTCTACGAGCTACTCCTTTGATAAGAAACCAGGATGTTTTAGTGACTGTTTCAATTCATCGAGGCTCAGGAAGATTTGAAATAATCGAAGGAAATTCACCGATTGTTCAAGGCTTTATCAAACAGGTGGATAATATAAAGATGTCTGAAATCAAGCCACATGATGATGATGATAACACTTTTTCGGCTGATGGATTCTATAGAGAAATGCGTCTCTGTGGATTCATTCATTTAGGACCATTCAAAGGTGTGACAGAGATACAGATTAATGGACTGAAAGGAAAAATTAAGTGGATGAAAAATTGGATAACATTCTTAGACACAATAACACATTTTAACAACAGGAGAACACTTTTATCTCGAGATATGGGCGTTCCAATTAAGATCAGAAAACTTATGATTGATCCTATATTGCATTATAAGATGCTGGAAGAAAAGATGAAGCAATCACATATTAATAATAAAAGTTCTGATGTCACATTCGATGTTGTTGTCTGTCCATATCGACAAATTATTAATGCAGGTGGCATTGAACTACAAGAGAAGACTAATCAAATTATATATCGTCGAAGACCAAACCAACCATCACTTGAAATTAGCAAATTCATTCCGTTTTATTGCGAGGAAAAACTATCTTTGGAAGATACAGCAAAAATTATTGTCCAAATGATTGTGGAGAATAACTCAAAGTTAAAGTTTTCAGCAGTAGAAATTGATAATAACAATATAGATGAAAAACTATTGTTGAGTGAATATATTACGAAAGCTTTTAGCGGAATACCTCAAGTGACATCTGATTTAGCATTGTGTACGCAAAAGAATGATGTGAACTTGAAAGATGTGACAATTAGCACCGATGACTTTTCATCTTTCGCAGGAGTTGATTTGCTAATTTTAAACAAATGCATTGAAAACGATAGTGTTTTAGATGATATCAGTTCAGTCACCAATAATACCGGATATATTGTTTCAAGAGAAGATCAAGAATATTGTGATCTACCGAGCTATAATTATCAAATAGTTGCCAAAATTCGGACAGCATCAGAAGAAATATTCCACATAATACAGCTTAAGAAAGAATCGCATCTTGATTATAAGTCTATTGAAGTTACTTCCAATGTTGACGAATGGCTTATACCATTGAAAACTTCCCTCAAAGAATCCACAACAATTGTATATGCTTACAATCAGGTGCCATCAGGACTTTTAGGATTTTTCAAGTGCCTTAGGCAAGAATATCCTGACAAATTAAAGTGTTTTTTAATCATTGATACCAAAAATGCACTACCAGCTTTTGATATCAACCATAAATTCTTCAAGAATCAACTAGAGCTCAACCATTCAGTTAATGTCTTCAAAGATGGAAAGTGGGGAAGTTACCGGCATTTAAATATTTGCTCAGTTAACAATTATGTTCCTATATCCTCACATTGTTTTGCTAGTTGCCTAGTTAAAGGTGATTTGTCAACGTTCTCATGGCTTCAAGGTTCATTTAATGTCAATGATACAAATTTAGATCTGGTAATAATTCAATATGCATCACTAAATTTCAAAGATGTTATGCTGGCTCTTGGGAGAATTACTGACAATCGTGGAAAGAAAGTTTTTGATCAGGAATCATGTTTGGGTTTTGAATTTTCTGGAATAAAACAGAATGGAGAAAGAGTGATGGGAATTGGCTCAAAAGCTGGTGCTTTAGCAACTCATTATGTCGCCAATAGTGCAATTTTATGGAAAGTTCCTGATTCTTGGACATTAGAAGAAGCAGCAACTGTGCCACTCGTATATTTTACAGTTTATTTTGCATTCTTCAACACAACAACAATTAGAGCTGGAAAGAAAATCTTAATTCATTCTGGAAGTGGTGGAGTTGGACAGGCTGCCATTGAAGTTGCGTTCGCTTATGGATTAGAAGTGTACACAACTGTCAGCAATGAAGATAAGAAAAACTATTTGCTGCAAAGATTTCCGAAATTGAAACCTGAAAATATTGGAAATTCTCGAGACACAACTTTTGAGAAAATGGTTCTCGAAAATACAGAAGGCAAAGGCGTCGATTATGTATTGAACTCGTTATCTGGTGACAAACTGAAAGCTTCGATTCGATGTCTTGGAGTGGATGGAGTGTTTTTAGAAATCGGAAAATACGACATCCAAATGGGAACGAACCTTGACATGAAATTTTTGAGCAAGCGAATTACAATAAAGGCAGTCATTTTCGATGATCTAGCAGTTGATTCCGATGAAATGCAGGTATATAGTTAAGATCTTGAACAAACTTTCTATTGTTTTTATTTCATTCAAATTTGCTTATCTATAGGTTCTATATACCCTTGTCAATAATGATCTTAGGTCTGGAATAATAAAACCTTTAAATGCTACAGTCTTTGATGCAAACAAAATCGAAGATGCTTTCCGATTCATGACAAGTGGACAACACATGGGAAAAGTTTTATTAAAAATAAGACAAAACGAAAATGACAAGAGTTCATTGCCACTTGCTGTTTTGAAAAGAGTCTATTTTGACGCCAATGAGTCTGTTATAATATCTGGTGGTCTCGGAGGTTTTGGAGTTGAATTAACTGAATGGTTGATATCCAGAGGCTGTAAGAAAATAGTTTTGAGTTCCAGCAGAGGCCTCCGAAATGCTGATCAAGCATTGAAGATTAAGTAACTACAATTTACTCTGATCTTTTTATATTTTTTAATCTGTTATATATTTTTAAGGTTTTGGGAAGCATTAGATGTTTCCATAACTGTAAGTACATCAAATATTGCAACAGAACAAGGATGTATAGCATTGATTAATCAGGCTATGGAAAAAGGACCTGTTGGTGCAATTTTTAATCTTGCTGCTGTTCTAAGAGACGGAATCTTTGAAAATTTAGACGAAAAAATGTTTAATGAATCTATGGCACCAAAAGCACTTGGAACCAAATATTTAGATGAAGTTTCCAGAAGCTTGTGTCCAAATCTGAAGCACTTTGTTGTATTTTCAAGTGTCTCTTGTGGACGTGGCAATGCTGGTCAAAGTAATTATGGAATGGCAAACTCAGTCATGGAAAGAATAATAGAGAATAGACATCGAGATGGACTACCTGGTAAAGCTATTCAATGGGGTGCCATAGGTGATGTAGGAATGCTTGCAGATTTTCAATTGATTAACGCAGATAAAGACTTCGGTGGAACTCTTTCTCAATCAATTTATTCATGCTTAGAAGTTCTTGACACTCTATTGACGTCGCCTGATCCGATAACTTCAAGCATGATTGTTGCTGATAAAAAACTAAATGATATGAATAAAGGCAACATAATTGACATGATATTCAAGATTATGGGAATTCGTGACAAAAAGTCAGTATCAATGGATTCAACACTGACACAACTGGGTATAGATTCATTAACAGGAGTTGAAATACAACAGATAATTGAACGAGAATTTGATATAACATTAACATCACAAGAAATACGATCTCTAACACTTAATCAACTTGAAAAACGTATTTCATCAAAAGACTCAAACGCTTCGAAGAATAAATCGGTAGATGACGATACAGCTGAGAAGGTAGAATGGATGAGACTTTTATTAGAAGATGTTATTGATCCAAAAACACTTGATCTTTTTACCTCGGAAACCATTGTACATTCAAACAGTTTGGAAGGTTCAAAAACAAAAATTCTGATAATTCCTGGATTTTATGGATTCGCTTCTAAAGTTTTTCTGAATCTTGGAAGGGAAATGAATTATCCCACATACATTTTACAGTATGTTAATTTTGGAGAATGCAAAACAGTCGAAGAAGTAATGTTCAAAATATCACCAGAAATTGTGGAATTTTATGCGGATGCTGAGAAATTTGTGCTAGTTGGACATTCATTCGGAGCTATTTTATCTCTTAAGATAGCAAAACTTTTGGAAGAAAACGGAAAAACAGGACAAATAATCCAACTGGATGGATCTCCAGCGTATAGCCATGAGTATGCACTGCAGTATTCAAACGAAGATCATTTCTCAGATATGAGGAACTATATAGCTATGATGCTTTTCAAATTTTATCAAAAGCTCGTTAGCCATAGTACTTCTAAAGCTGCATTTGACAGTCATTCTTACTGGGTAGATAGATTAAAAGAATTGGTTTCTCTTGCTGGAGATGCAATTCCAATGTCACATGAACAAATGATTGCAAAAATTTCATCTGCGTATATAAATCGATTAAACATTGCAGTCAACATTCAAAAAGAAAAATTTGCAGCATTAGATTCCACTATTATTTCTTTAATTAAAGCTACAAAAACGTCAGTTACTGAGTTACCGATGGATTATAGACTGTCACAATACACCACAGAAGAAGTAGCAATAAGATTTGTTTTTGGAGATCATGTAACAATCCTTCAGAATACAGAACTTGCAAGTGTTGTTAGAGAATTGATTTCTGTTTAAATTTATATTAAATTTTGTTTTATTTTATTTGGTGTTGGCAAGAATTTTACAAAATAAAATGCATTAATCAGCTAAGCAATTTCATAGTATTTGTCATAACGTTTATTTAAGATTTAAATGATATTTGTGCCATTTTAGTTGTATGCCCCGTTTTATATTTTCAATAAATTGGTTTCAGAGTTGTGACAACACTGTTTTATCATGTGAGGGCCGTTCACTTATTACGTTCGCATTTAAGGGGGGAGGGGGGGGGGGGGGTGTGTCAAGAAGTATGTAACGTTGCCTGTCTTTTAAAAAAAAAGTTCACGAAAAAAATTTGTTTACAAATTCACATCAAAAACATTTTTTTAAAATTTTCCACCTTTTTATGATAAAATAAATTATGAACGTTCAGGGGGGGGGGAGGGGGGTTGTGAGTTGTAACATATTGTAACAAGGGGGGGAGGGGGGTGAAAAAAGTCATTTTTTTGCGTAACGTAATAAGTGAACGACCCCTTAAAGGAGAAATATCAATTATATTATCAATTTGTAAGGAATATCATAAATTCCCAAAGGGATTTCATTTTCATTTAATTCTAAATTGAATAATTTCATATCAGAAAACAATTAAATAGTTTTATGTAATTCGATTTTCAGCTCATAAGGTTACTGTTGAGCTTTTTTCTGTGGATTATGTGATAATTCTTGAAAATCCAGAATTAGCACATTGAATTAAGCAACTAGTAATTTATAGAGAAAAGAGCTGTTAATTACTTACGTTGAACAATATGTGTTAATTTGATAATAAATTTGTAAGCTAGAAATTTATGAAAAAATAATTCTAAGTTGCGAAACTAGACTTGATGGAGTAGAACAAAGATATGAGAAGATAGTAAAACAGTCAAATGTAATAAACTTTTGAATAGTCTTGAAAGAATATTAAAAGTTTCAACTTTTATTTTTTTTATGATTTTTTGAATTTTTATTTCACTTTCTTATTATTGTTACACATTGATAAAAATACTTTTTTGAACATTAATATTTAATTATAATTATTATGGATTTCTTTTCTTTTCGTTCTGTAAATATTATGTCTATTTCATTTTCAATTTGTGTCTTTCAAATATACAATTAAATGTTTTTCTAGAAATTGAAATGACGAATTTTTGTAAGCTTCGTACTGCTTTGAGTTTTGCTGGATTGTTTATGATTGTTTGTTTTTTTTTTTTTGGTAATGTCTAGAATCTTATATTTCATCATTTTAGGATAGAAGTACAAAAATATGATTATAAAAATATTTAATGAATTTTAAAATGTTTTTTGGACCATTAATCGTACATGAGAGAAATATGAAATGAAATCAAAACAAACTTTAAAAGCATTTAAGCATTATCAAAAATTTTGGAAGAAGATGCGAAGCATATGAGATTCATGAGTGCATTTGAAGGCAGCAATTTGCGATAAAAAAAGGCACACACACTACTTTTAAACTTCTTAATCTCTAAATGTGAAGACAACATCAACAAGGAAGAGAATTCCGTTGACAATGGCCAATGAACCTTTTGTGATTCCAAGATTCTTTCTGTCACTTGATGCCCATCCGATTACTTTGCCGCCAACTGAATCATTCCAGAATTGAATGATCAAGACACCTGATGTAATGAACATAGCGCATCCAACCAATGAGTAGAAGAGATCTGAAATAATGATGAAAAATTAGATAATTTTCTGGTTCTGGATAGAATTTCATTTATCTTACCGATTCTCTTGTTGATTGGAGTGTTCATCAAATATCCAGCAAACAATCCGATCAAAATAACCGAAAATCCAACAAACGTTCCATTGATGAGCATAATGGTATGTAAATCAGAATGTTCGCCCATGGAGTTGTAGTGCAAGCCCACGCATGATAAAGTAAGCAACTAAAAATAGAGGAATTTAAATTAGATGGTCATCTCAAGATCATATTGTTCTTATGATTTCTTAAATTGACTTAAATTGTGCGTTGGCTAAAAATATGGATGGAAACTAGATATGAAGGAATTTTTATTGAGGTCTGGTAAATTATGGATGATAATTTTTAATAATTTAGAATATTTTTTGCAAGCTAAAACGGAAGCCACTTAGCAATTTCTCAAATATTTAAATATTTATACAGGAAAGCTTAAAATAATCAAATTATCTTAACGACTTTTTAAATTTCAAATATTTTTCTCGCAAACATTTGAATGGTTTTCATTTCCGATCGTCACTCACTGAAAACAATTCTTTAGGCCTCTCATCACGCATTCAATCATTTTCCAGTTTCAAGTTCAGTATTTATTATTCATAATAAATGTGAATAACTGAATATTTTAAATTAATTGACATTGTTTGTTTTTAAGAGGAGGATGAAGATTGGGTAGGGGGGGGGGGGGGGTGTTGAATGTTTAAAGTTTATTTTTGCAAAAAATTTTTAAAGATATTTATTATAAGTTTTTGACCCTCCATACATAAGAATATTTTTAACTCTCCGCCCCCTGCCCCCACCCTTCCAATTAAAAATCCCATACTTCACAACAGCCTCAACAAATTTAATTAGAATATTCAAATAACGTTGATTGTCTGTAGACTTTCAAAGCTATAATATTTAGCCATTAAAATCCATTTCAACGTTCTGACAAAATTGGAATAAATAAAATAAAGCTTCACACATTGGGCGAGGTCTTGCCGCTTTTCGATGACACCACATATCATGATGTGAAATTTAATGTGAATAATTAATCACCACACAAAGTAGCATTAGATGCTATTAATAAAACTTAAGTAATGATCTCATTCTTGTTTATTTGCGTACTCTCCTCGTTAGTTTTATGTGCTTGCTTAAGCTTGAATGTGTGATGACTCAATCAATTGTGTTTTTGTTGCCACAATGACCTATAAAGTTCCTCATTTTTACCTGAAGAATTTTTTCAATGAACTTCTTCTTCCGTATTCAAAAATTTATTTCCATCGAAAGCAAAAGTTTCATGTGCTTTTATGATTCCATTGCCATATATAGCGGCATTCAATTATCGGAATTAATTGTTTGATTGGCCTTTTTTGAGATGCGAAATTCTCACATAATGATTAATTGTTTGTAATATACGATGCCGGCAGCTAAATGTGTTGAATTCATCCTTGCGAGTACGAGTTCGTGACGAAAACATAAATTAAATGTTCAAGTGTTAAGTTCATTCATAAAAAGCTTGAGAATCATTTAATGCACATGTGTCATCGAATTTTAAAAGCGGAAATTTGCGAAAAATGTTATTAATCAAACCTTAAAAATTCTCGCATCTGTTGGAATTGTCTTGAGTCAATGGATTATTAATCATAAACAGTATTAAACGCTTGAAAGAGTGCAAAAAATTGACACTAATCTGTTATACTAGAAATTAATTGAATAAACCTCCAGACTCTAGTGTTTACCAACAAAAATTCCAAATAACAGATTAATATCAGCAAAAAATCATTATCAATTGCAATGAAATCAGCCTTACTAGTAAATACTGTTATCACTACTTATTTATTAATCAGTGATTCATTGTGACTCTAATGCACTTTCACCAAGACTTATCAATATTGTATTGATTATTTGCAGCAACAAATAGAAAGCAATTAAATTTATTATTCACAACATCAATCCTGACATTAAATTCTCAATGTCGCTTTAGTGACGTTCCTTTAGTACGTACTGCTGAATTTTAACTTCCCCTTCCTTCTGATAGTAATTTTCAATTTATTTGAACCTGTGTTGTCCAAACTGTGTGCCATAGAAAAATTGAAGAAATGCCACAAACGCATGGTGTGTGTGGTTTTGGTCGTCGACTACCATTAAGGTGAAAAAATGTTTGGATGCACTGGTTTGAACTGCCGCAAAATTTCATGCCTCCCGAACCTTTTTTTTCCTTGAACCTACCCTGTTTTTTTTATTATAAGCTACTACTTGTTACTAAGCTACTAGTGAGCCACAAAAATCGCTTTTTTTATTCTACTAAGCTACTAGCTTATAACGAAAAAACAGGGTACGTAAAAAATCATCAACCCATTACTGATGCACTAGTTTATAGCATTCTAAGGTATTGTTCAAAAACATACAAGACAATTCAAGAGCATAACGACAACAATCTTTTTTCCTTACTTGATAAATAATAAAATTCATGGCAATAAAAAAATCTTCAAAAAACGTGACAAAAACTCTCCTTGAAGAATGTCAATGTCAAGGTACATGCTTCCATAATACTTATTTTTTAATATCTTTCCTACCAATGAAAATTACTCTAATTGTGTTAATTTATTCAGTTTTGTTTGTGGCATAAACAGTTAAAAAATACGCCACAAAAACTTGTTATTGGAAGTACGATACCTTTTGACGGAACATGAGTCATATAACAACATCACATCATCTTCTGGAACGCTACTCGGAATTACATTTGAAATTGTTTAAATAAATTAAATATTTCCGAATCTTTTGTTGACAAATTGTTGTGGAATTTTAAATGTGAGATTTGAGTATTTTTGGAATTCGGAAGGTATTTTATTGTCTTGACAAAAAATGAATGAAGTCAATTTTAAGTTTTTTTTCGAGGTTTTTGATTTTGATTTGATTCTTATATTTTTGAATTTATATTCTATGAATCGACTTAAAACAATTTTGTTTATGATTCGACTCAACTTCAAGTGAAGCTCGACTCTAGGTCAATTTAATTAATTTTTGTATGAAAGACTAGCCCGAAAAGCAAACGGATTTGGTGATATCTGGCGTGGTGCTGCATTAGTGCAATACTGGATGCAAAATTGACAACCATTTTAAAGCCGTGTGTCTTTCGTCTATTAAACTTCGAGGTCTAAAGTCAATTGAATAGTAATAAAAAGCTTTTTAGAAACCAAAGCAGCAGTTTATCGAAAACAGGCACTAATTGACCAATTTAGTTTGAATTCATTAACAAACCAAATCAAATAAAATATTAAACATTTTGATCCGGTTTTCAAACAATTGTGGCTATAAACTGATCAATTTACTCTTTATTTTCAATAATTGATTTTTGAGATTCTATTTGATTTATTGTCCAGGCTCAATAATGAGTGACAACATTTAAATAGTTTACAATTATTCAATCATTAAAATAACAAAGCTGTGAATCATTTCATATCACTTTTCGCAGCTATTAAAAATTTATCTCAATTTACTTCAATTATTTCCGCTAAATTCCACAATTATGAGTGTCTTGTAATCACAAAAATGCAATACAATTTTTTGTGTGAATATCATCATGACTTTATTTTGAGCCCATGACTATTAATGCAGTGTGATAACAAGGAATCATATTAAATATGATTATTTTGCCAGTATTTTGTGTGATTATGAGATCATCGTTTATTATTTAAAATTCATGAGAATAAATGCGTTAAGCAACTAGTCATGTTGTTTTTAAAGGATAATTTTTATGATTTGTCGAGCCTCTGTAGAGACATATGAGATATTTTTTTTTAATTTTTCGAGACTGTGAAAGTTGGGAATTTGAATCAATTGAAAAAAAAAGCGCTTTGGAGTCGGTTTCTCGGTAAGCACATACACACATAGTCAAGAGGTAAGGATAAGGTTAGATATGCACCGAGAAACCCATGCAATTTTACGATCTCATTCATACATTTTCACATATTCACATTCTTCCCAATCCACATAAACCACAGTAATTGTAATGAACTCAAAACCGTGGCAACAACAAAAAAAAGCTCATTTCGCAAAAACACTTTCTTTGTAGTCCCACGAGAATGATCGAACAGTCTTATCAGTAAAAAAAAATTATCGTTCAAATTGCTTTATTAATATGATTAAGTATGATAAGAAGTTGCTGTTCAATTTGTCGACGACAACAATAAAAAGAACATCAAACGAAGAAGAAACAAATTACATTTATTGTCAATTCTCGAAATGATAGAACGAGAGGAAGTACACGGCTACGCAAAAAAATATGGAATAGAAATAAATTACTTGATGTCGTGCTTGGAATGCGATGTTCAAAAATTTTTAAAAGAATTTTTTTGAGCACAAGCAACAGTTCGCTAGAATTTCAGCATTACAATCAACACATGATGACCCAATTTAATATTTTTAAAGCTATTATATAATTTTTTCATCAGATCTCAAACATCTGTCGACCTTGACGATCAGCAAAATAATTTATCGCATATTTTGAAAAGAATTCCCACCCATGTTATGTACTCTATTCATGTTTAGATATAAGGAAATGATTGCTGTACATCTTACATGCGGCACGGCCTTTTAAACAAATATTTGACATGACTAAGCTCATTGATTCTTGTTGGCAAATATTTTTTTTTTGACACAATCAATTACAAATAATGGGCAATAGAGATAAAAATAACGTTGTTATCAGTTGTTTGATTATGGGGAGTGATTGAAATAGACAATTTTGGAAGCATTGCATTGTTGATTTTGGAGGTTATGGAATTTTTCGATAGTTTTTTGATGAAGAATTATACAAATAGTTGGGAATAAATGTATTAGCTTGAAAGAAATTGAGGTGCAGATTTTGACTCTTTAAAGTGTGCAGAGCTTAAGTCTTTGAGAATCTACAATCTAAATTGAAGGTTAAGAGGATTTGGTACAACAGATATTATATTAGTTGAATTGTCTTCTGCTTATAAAGCTGAGCAATTGACATATAAAGAGATAGAGTTAATTTCTGATTGACTCCCAAACTTATTTAAGATAGATCTGTTGTAAACTTATCCAAACTAAATTCCAGATTTCCCATAGAAAAGTTATTGAAATAATTTATCTCTCATCCATATTAACTATCCCATCCATTTCTCATGACAGCATAACATATTAGCTCACCGAAAAAGAAGAAAGTAAATAACAAGCTTTCATCATCAAATTGCAAGCAACTCAAAGGTTTTTCCATATCTATTTAAAGAACATTTCTCATCATATAATGTAAGTTCCTCACGTACTCAATAACAAACAGATTTTTTTAATAGAATCAACAAAAATTCAATTACTTTATTGAAATCGAACACAAAAAGGCGTGAAAAATATTTTTTCAATAAAAAAAAGAATTTTTTTACATTAATTGAAAATTCAATAGGTCTAAAATGGTAATTTTGTATGCGCTGTATACCCGTCTTTTTCATTTCTTTTTATTCACAATATCAATTTTCATCTTCTTTTATTTTTGAGTCAGTTTTTTTTTGTGTGTGCTAGGCTTGGGTTATTTAAACTCATTTACATACACATTCTTAAATACAGCAAAGAACGAAAGCAAAACAAAAATATCGAATGAACTACCGAAATTTTCTGAGAAACTGATGACGGCGATGATGTCAGTTTATTCGCGCCTTTTCTGAATTAATATAGTCGACACTAGCACGAAATGTTTACATTTTCAACCGGATGGTTAGTATTTAGTATAGTAAAGAAATTTGCATTAAATATAGTTTCCTTTATTGACAGGTTTTAGTTCCAATTGTGAATGTAAACATGATAGGATGTAAAGTTCAGTGGTATCGATTGCTGGTCATTAGTTTTGTAGCTAATACTTTACTAGTTTGTGTTGGATTTGATAATCACAATACTTATTTATTAATATTTTTTATTTAAAGATTCGTCATTGATTGAATGAACAATTAAAACAGAAGTTTATTCTTCAAAGTTCAGAAACAGACAATTTAATTCTAATGCGAGAGGGGGGTTAACAACTATACAAGGAGAAAACAACTGAATATAGTTGCACATACATTTTAAATATTAAACGACAGTTGACATATTCTCAAAAAAAAATTCAATCAATTTCCGCAAAACTCAAATTCCACAACGAATCTAATTTGCTAGTAAGAATGATAGCCAATATTCAAACAACCAAGCCCCGAAAAAGTCAATAAATTATTTTTTTTCAGCAGACTGCAACTTTTCAATTTTTTTCTTAAACCACAAATCTTGTTCAAAATAAACATCAGATCAAATATCTCAATTTCGCCAAGCTTATTGATTCAAAGAACAGAAATCTCGAAAAACCATAAAAGAGAAATGGAATTGAAGTTGGATGAGAAGAATTGATTTTTAATTTGCAAGCCAGACGGCTCCAAACATTCTACATTTATATTATTACTATTTTTCTTATTCATTACTATTTCATCATAGTGAAAGTGAGATGATGTTGAGGAAAATTGTAATGTTAGGGACATTAAAATATTTTGCGACGACTTTTTTGCCATAAAAATATATTTAAGGGTGAATATTGTTATTGCGACGCATTAAACTTCGTTTAAATACACAGCACGTGTGGAAGAATTGCGTTAAACATTTTATGAAAGCATACAGCTGTAAGATCTGTCTTTAAAGTATTTGCAAAAACGTTTGTTCCGTATGTTTGATTTAACCAAGGTCAGGCTTTATTTATTTAAAATCCAGAGGAATTTTTGCAAAAATAAAATGAATTTCCTGTAATTAAAGTTTGTTTGAAACTCGTCAAGTTGTAAGCAGATTTAGTGTTTGACTTGAAATCATTTTGAATTTTTTAAGATTTGAAGGATTATTTCAAATTTCTATGCAATCTCAAAAACTGTTCCAATTTAATATCGCGTGAGCATTTACACTTTTTATGATGCCAACATACTTTTATAGCTGGCTATTAGGGAACGACTCTTTAATTACTCTGAAAAGTTAATATTAAATGTGTATTTTTAATTCAAAGAAAAACTTTTAAAAATCAATTTTTTGCTTTTGATTAAGTTTGTTTATAGAAATCAATAAGAATGATGAACTTAGTTTGATAACAAATTTGAATTAACAAAATTTCGTTTATGGCAACTTTATATTATTCCAAACTTGTTACGACTTTGAAGCTATGTTTCATGAAAGTTGGAAAATGTTTAGTTTTTGACATATATTACGTAAGTTGTTTATATCCCACCAATTCTTCGTTTTCTAACGCCTTACTTCAACCTTTTAGCAATTCTATAATTTATTATGAGTTCCAAAATGTTTGTAGAAATCAAACCTAAAATTAACCAACAAAATCGACGATTCCTAGAAACTGTAGGTAGCGGAAAAAATTACAAATATTTTATTTTCAGGGACAATTCTCAAATACGAAACGCTTGGTTTTTAAAAATATTTGCAAATTAAATTAATTCTTTGAAGTTGTCAAAATATTATAACTTAATGGAACTCAATCTTCAAAATGTATCATTCTAATGAAACTTAATGAAACTCAATCTTTCAATAGCAAAACATAATTGATGCTAAGATTAAGTTTAGTTTAATTTTAAAAAACTAAGTTTATTCTCAAATCTGAGTCATCAAAACGTTGAAAACTTAATTTTAAGCTTAAAAAACAACTCTATAATTATCTGGTAAGCTAAGTATAGACCTTTGAATTTAATTCTTCATCACAACCTCTTTTTAAATATCATTAAATTTCTTCAATGTTGAAACATTTTCTTCAATCTTCATAAAAAACCTACGCACAAAAAAAAATAAAATCTTCAAAAAAAATCACCAACTGCACAATTCAAGTCATCAAACTATCAATAAACATCAATTTTTCCTATATTTAACTCACCAATTCCAAGAACTTGATGACTGACAATCTGCTTAAACCCATTTTTGATGATTTTTTTTAAATGACAATTAAAAAATAATTCACAAATAAACTTTGACACTTGTTGCCACAAAAATAAAGAAATTTAAAGACTTGAGTAGAAGCTTTCAAATGCGTCCGAACGTGGTGAAAATCGAAACTCGACTGTGCATTTATTTCTGTTTGTATATAGTAAAAAAACGTATAATCCAAAGCGTCTTCGATGATGATATACATAAAGAATAAAAAAATATGAAAATGAAATTACAGAATTGTGTAGCTTGTGTGCCTGTGTATGTCGATTATGTGTACCAACACAATTGAAAACCGGTGTGAGGTGACTGAAAACAATAACAATATTCTACCGGTGGTTCATGATGTCTTTAATTATATTCGTATTTAACATTTTAAAGCTATGCTAGCTTATGAAATCATTCAATAGCGTCAGAATTTGCGAAAAAAAAAATTAATTTAAAATTATATTCTATATTTTATTAAGTTAGTAAATGTAGAAGGTTATGAGGTCATGATTTAAATACAGCTTGAGTATCAGCAGCAACAACGAAACTTTAAAGTCAAAATGAAATCGTGACATAAGTGGATTCTATTTTCAGTTCTTCTTTCTGGCCAAAATTCTACTCTGTTCCTCATCATATTCTTATAGGGCTGAATTGTTGCTTTTATTTTATTAAAAATTGAAGATTACATCACACAGTAAACTACACGACTGAATGAACATAGCTTTGTTATTTGGGAAGTAAAACTATTCTTAATAGCCATTCTCATATCCATTGAAAGCTGTTGATGTGACATGAATTTTATATTATTTTTGGGGAATTGTGAGTTGAGTAATAAAGTTTATTATTAAGGCATGAAAAATTATTGAACTATTTACTTTTATTTATTTTTAATAATAACAGTCATTGGCTCTTTCATTAATTTTTATTTCTCTTTATTTTTGATTAATTATAAAAAACGAAGATATTGCAAATAAAAAGAAGCATGAATAAAAATCACATTTTGATGAGTGTGGTCGATTGTAAATTACGTTCAACAAAAAACTGGATTTTAAGATGGTCTTATTTTTCGTCTGTGTCAAAATGTTGCTTTAATGACTCACTTGTTTGCTTAAAATTCAAAATTTTCTTAATTGAAGAACACGACACTTAAAATATATTTTCAAAAATTTCAAACAACGTAGATTTGAACTTTAATCACTTTTAACCACTTCCTTCCAAGAAGTGATTTTCAGATTTTTACAGAATTTAAACAGAAAATAGAATCACAAAGAATTATTCTTTTGAAAAAAAACGGTCAAAAAATATTCAAAATAGAGTTCAAAAATATAACAATCAAAAATTATTTAAAAAGTCAAGTTCAAAAATATTTGAGAAATAACGGTTAGAAAAAATTTAAAAATTGTCTGAAAAATCGAGTTCAAAAAATAACGATCCATAAATATTTGAAAGCTCTAGTTCAAAATTATCAGCTAGAAAAAAGTTTGAATCTCAAAAAGCGGTTAAAATAAAGTTCAATTTATTCATCCATCCAATCTGATGGGGGGTAAAATCCCCGAAAGATATTAATTCCACGATCCTGCGGGATAATAACCCCGAAAATCGCAAATTTTTAAATGTTCCCTGCGGGATAATATTCTCACTTAGAAATACACGTGGAATTATTATCCTTCCGGAAAGATAATAATCCCACCAATAATTACAAGTGGGATTATTATCTCCCAGGTAGATAATAATTTCACTTACATTTCTAAGTGGGATTATTATCTTTATGGAACACGATTAAAATTATGGATTAAATCAAATCCAAAAACTTATTTGTCATAGTGGATAATAATTCCACTTGTATTAATAAGTGGATTTATTATCTAATAGGATTTTCATCCAAAAAAAATCCCACTTATTAATTTGTCAATTTCATTATTCCAAAAACTTAAATAAGAAGAAAACATAAATATTGGTTGAATGTTTAAGTTGAAAACTTGGTTTTTTATGCCTTTTGTAAATTTTCTAAAAGCCTAGAGCCTTAAAGATGTTTAATGTATCAAAGATCTTTTCACTCAAGAAATCATATTCACACAAAATTTTCAATTTTTTGTTTTTGCAAATAGTTTTGAAATGAAGTCTTTCAAAATTTAAAACGTGCGCAACTAATAAATCACGTTTTTATCATTTTTGTCATTGGCAAAATTTGAGTTCACTTGATGCAGGATAGAAGATGCAGGGTTTTTTGCTTTTTTGGAAGCAATGGTTGTTTCTACCTTACTCAATAAAAAAATAAAGCCTTATCCTTTTTAACGCAGCAAGAATCAAAATGCAATAATTAGAAGTCTCTAAGATGCCTCGTTATTGAGATTTTTGCTGATTTACTTGCCTTGATGCTTGTTTGCTTACCTATCATGCGATTTTCTCATCAATGCTACAGCCAATTTAAATTCTGTTTTGCCCATTTGCCTTTTTTCCTCAAAATGCGAAAAACTGTTTTTCAAGCTGAACAAAAATAAAGTGTATACGGTGTGAATATAAAATCTATTTTAGGATATAAAATTTTTTTATATTCAAATAGTTTTCACGTGTGAATCTATTGGTTTTGTTCAGATTGAAAAATCAGTTTTTCGCATTTTTTGAGAAAACGAAGCAAAATTGGTTATAAAAGGTCACAGAAGAAAAGTTTGTGCCTGAAATTTTACATCATTTTCAAAAAACAGATTTCAAGTTGGTTGTGGCATTGCTCAGAAAATCGCAAAATACGCTTTCTGTAAGCAAATAAGCAAACAAGCAAGCAAGCAAGTTAATCAGCAAGAAATCTCAATAACGAGACATCGTAGAGACTTCTAGTTTTTTACATTTGATCCGTGCTGCTCTATAGAAGAGCTGTATTGTTTTTGGGCAAGGTAGGAACAGCCGTTGCTTCAGAAAAAGCAAAAAACTTTCCTTTCTTACGAATTTTTTTAAAACAAAAGTTGACTGTGATTTTTATAAAATTCAAGTTTGGATGAAAAATTTTTTTCAAAAACTTTTAAAGAATGTTCGTTAAGCTTAAGACCTTCAAACTTATGCTGAGCGAAGCTCAGCTCACTCGCTAGCTTTATATCTTCAAACTTATGCTGAGCGAAGCTCAGTTGACTTATCAAGCTTCATACTGCTTCATACCTTCATACTTATGCTGGGAAAATCTTGGTCTATCCATTAGACTTTTGATGGTACGGTGTGAATATAATCCGCATTGGGTTTCTGCCCGATACACTAGTTCTGACAGGTTTTATTTTAAGCTTTTCTTCAAAAGAGCTCAAGTTTGAAAGAACTTACAAAATATTACGTTTGAATTTTGTACGAATCACTTTAATTTGCTGAACATTTTCAATAAATTTGTGGCCATCAGTTTGTTTAAGTAACCCTGTATACCTGAATAATCAGAATAATTTCGAAATTTTGAGATTATAAACAATCAAATCTCTTAAATGTTCTAAAACCATTGGAAACCTTCTTGGGGCTTGTAGACACGGTTAAACAGCATCAGAACTGCCATCATTTTAAAATTCTAGTTAATTTAATAAGAATTTGAGCAACAAAATTTTAATTTTGCGTTCTTTTTATGTTTAAATCTCTACATTTTTCTTAGCAAAATGTATAAACAAATATTATGATTAGATTTATAAATCTAATTTTGTTAAGGGCAATTTACAATTATTTGGAAAATTTCAGGAAAGAATCGAAAATTTATTATTTTTCCCATTAGAGGTTAACATATCTACTTCTAAACATTTGAACAAAACTGTGATTTTTAAACAGTTAAATGAATGAAGTGAAACAAAATGGAATTACGGCTACATCTTCAGATAAAATTGCATTATAACCACTATTTAATTTTTGTTATGATATTTAATCTATTAAATCAGATTTGTTTCATGTTAATGTGCATTATTCAATAGATCAATCATTATTACCCAAGAAGACTCAACTGAGTATTATCATCTCTTGGCGATTGAAAGTATTGAATTGATTAAATAAACTATAAAAAGAATTCTCACAAGAGTGAAGTTCAGATTATTTATATATTCAAAAATAACTGATGTAATTACACACGTGACTGTTAAAAAAGAACCGTTAATATTTAAACATCAGAAAGCATAAGCGAAATCCATGTGAGAAAACTGACATAATTTGAAATCTTTTCTGTCGTTAAAAAATTAATTAATTGGATCGAAATGCATCATGGACGTAAAACTATTCCGGCTAATAGCCAATTACCGCCGAGGAACAAGCAAAAGAATATAAAAAATTTAAAAAATCAGGAGCAGAATCAATCAACTAGTCTTATAGACTACTTTAAGGCTCAGCAGACTTTGCAAAATGTCCATAATGAAAGCTTCTCATCAGTAGCTTCTTTTGACTCAGCAGCAAATGACACAATGATTGATGCATTGGTAGAATTGCCTCAGATGGTCAGTGTCTTGGAAGCTAGAAGAAAATCTCTAGAAGAAAGGACTAATGATATTTCTAAAATTAAGGATGAGCAAATTAAAAAGATATTACTTGATATGGTGAGTGATATTAAGAATGTTGTTGAGGATAGTGATAAAATTGTTCAATGCCATAATGAACTCATAAGCAAGCAGAATGAAGACTCCGACGATATCCAGTCTAACAGGAAATCCATAAATAACTTGACAAAGGGAGTTGGTAATTTGGCTGATGGACTTGATATGATGAAAAACCGTGTGCAATCATTGGAGGTCACAAAAAACTGTACTTTTGATAGTCATTTTCTCAATATTGTCTTTGTTGATGAAAGTGATGGTGACTGCGTTGAAAATGGTACTACAGGACCTAAAGAAAAATTTTCTGAAATTTTGAGTGGAATGAAAATAGTGCCACCAAAAGATATCATTGATGCTCACTTGATGACTGTCCGTAGATTCAAAAATGGGAAACGTAGGCAGATTAGAATGTTGAGGACTCGATTTATTGATTCATTAACTGCTGGACGCATCTTCTCACAAGTGATTAATTACAACAAAAACCTCTCAAGCGCTGGTAAACAGGATACAATTAGATTCTTTGCGGAAATGCCTGCAAGCAAAAATGTTTGGAATTTGAAAAGAATGTGCTATGAACTGAAGAATGAAGGAACTTTAATTAATGTTCGTGG